TTTTTTGGGTCCATACTAGAATTGGATTGCTTGGGTATTCACACCTATGCGATTCGATTCTGCAGATTTCACTGCATTTTGCGGACCGCTTTTGGGGTGTTGTTAACTTAACATACACACCCGCAGCGGTTTGCATGAACGGGGTGCGATTCTGATGCGGTGTGGAATTCACACTGAAAACGCTGCAAATTCCGCACCTCATCAGTGTGAATCAGGGCTAAAATATACGAAAAACACACAGCACGAGCCAATGGAGGAGGTTCACTAAAACTGGAGCACTCAGAATCTGGTGCGGCTGAGCATGGTAACCAATCAGCTTCTAAATTCAGCTTGTTCAATTAACGGTTGACAATAAAACCTGGAAGCTGATTGGTCCCCAATGGAGGTGTCCAGTGCAATGTGTGTTCTGGTGCAATGTAGCCCATTGGTCAGTCTAATGCAGCAAGGATGCACCTAAACTCATATGTTGCAGTTTGCGGTTAATCTGCTTCTGCAGTGTGTTTTGCATTTTTGCACATGCAGTTTATTTTCTTGTTGCTAGGCAGATCTAAAATGCGCTTCATGCTTTTCTGCAGCGTTTCCATTGAAGTCTATAAAACCAAAAACGCAACTTTTTGCATTTAAAAAAAAGTTTCTAACCCTTTCCAAAACAACGTACCGGATGAAAACGCGGAGATGTGAACCTGTTCCATAGGAAATCATGTTAAATGGACTGCTCTGCGGTTCAGGAAAACGCTTAGGTGTGAACCCGGGGTCACAGTGGAACTCCAGCAACAGTAAGCCCGGCACCATGTAACTCCTTTCTAAGAAGGAATATTCTGACGCTGGTTTGAATTTGTGGAACCATAACAGTGGAGCAGGGGCGGACTGACCATTTGGAAACTCAGGCACTGCCCGAGGGCCCGGGGTCAGTAGGGGCCCCATGAGATGCCCCTGGTACCTTTTTCATAGGCTTTTTTGAGTTTGGGCAAGGACACAGGGGCCCCATGATCCCCTATTGCCTGGGGGCCCCATGAGTTGCCAGTCTGCCCCTGCAGTGGAGTGAGGGTCAGTGGCCATGTCCAAACATCCTATCAGTGCCGGACATCAGTGAGAGAGGCAGCAATAAGAGACTGGCATGCAAAGTGATTTCCGAAGACCAGAGGTCACCCGGAAACTCGGGACAGAATATTGGGATTCAGGTGAGTAGAACATTTCATTGTAAGACGCATCTACAGACGATTGCTATCTTTTGTTAACGTGTCGGGCGTTCCTCTTTTTTAGCGTCCTCTAAATACCGGCACACATGTCCAGAGACACAGTGATATGTCCCGAGTATTCCCTTCATTCACTTTTACAGGCTCTGGGCTTTCACCCTCAGTTCTCAGAGCGATTTCTAGTCTGCAGAAACGCACTACAGTCCATTTTAACATGATTTCCTATGGATCTAGTTCACTTCTGTGCATTTTGATTCGGTGTGGATTTCAGAAAGGGTCAGGGACTGTTTACCCCCGCAGCAGATTGCGATTTGCGTGTAATAGACCTCAATGGACCCGCACCAAAAATGCAAGTGGTGCGGGGGGGTTTTGATACGTTTTTGATGTAGGGTTGCCACCTCATCCCTTTAAGGGCTCATGTACGCTGCAGCTGATAAACTCACTTTTAGGAGCTTTTCTGCGTTTTTTTTTTTTTTTTTGTTTGTTTTTTTTTTTTTTATAGCCCCTGAACCCTCCCTACTGTTCTCCTATGTACCGTGTACACATCGTCATTTACAGGCAGTTGAGTTTACAGCAGGGGCGGACTGACCATTTGGAAACTGCCCGAGGGCCCGGGGTCAGTAGGGGGCCCCATGAGATGCCCCTGGTACCTTTTTTATAGGCTTTTTTGAGTGTGGGCAAGGACACAGGGGCCCCATGATCCCCTATTGCCCGGGAGCCCCATGAGTTGTCAGTCCGCCCCTGGTTTACAGTCGCTTTTTGGAATGCCCAAACTTGTATTCAGGAGTAGGTTTTATCAGCGTTTCAAATGCTTGTAAATGCGCCTAACCGCCTTTATTAGCAGTTTGTGTTTAGAAGCGTTTTTTGACAGATCCAAATGCTGTTCAGATGCTGACCGGAGCCTTTTTCCATCATCAGAAATGCATGCAAAGCGTTTTCCATGTATTCAAATGGACCCGGTACACCAGCGCAGTCAGTTCCAGGTTTGGCGTGAAGAAAAAAAAATGGTAGAACGCACCGCATTATGCTCATGATGGGATCCATAGTGACTACAACCAGAAAAGACAGATCATCTCCACACATACTGCTCTCTCTGCTTCTGCTCTCTCTATTCCTCTCAAAATTACTGAAATAGTTAATTGTTTACCACTTTTCAGTGCATTCTGGGCATCTGGGAGGGTTTCCTGAGGTTATCTTAAAAAAAGCTTCTAAAAAAAAAAAAAAAGTACCTAAAATAAATAAATAAGTCATCGGTTCCTGTATAAATTGCCCCTAGCGTGTGTATGGATGTGTGCAAGACAAGGAACCTAAAATTGTCAGGGACTACCGTGAGTAGTGGTGTAAATTCTATATAAATACTTGAAATAACTATGCGGAAAAAACACATTGAAGTACGTATTCATGATTAGAAAGTTGCATTCACGGGCGTCTGTTGTAGCTTTCGCGGGCGTCTGTTGTAGCTTTCGCGGGCGTCTGTTGTAGCTTTCGCGGGCGACTTTTGTAGCTTTCGCGGGCTACTTTTGTATCCGCTTGGAGTTCCACTGCACTAGCATGTGTATGGATGCAGTCAAGACCAGGGACTTAAAATTGTAAGGGACTACTGTGAGTGGTGGTGTAAATTCTATATAAATACTTGAAATAATTACGCCGAAAAAAACACATTGAAATACGTATTCATGATTAGAAAGTTGCTTTCATGGGTGTCTTTTGTAGCTTTCATGGGGGTCTGTCTTTTTGTAACATTCCTGGGTTTCTTTTTGTATCAGCTTGGAGTTCCACTGCAAGGGTTAATGTCCAGGGTGGGCGGAGGAGGAGGTAGGGCATTCTGCTATTCGGCCATTAGGTGGCAGTGTTGTTGTTGGCAGGCCACTTGGCTCCCCCCTTGCAGGCAGTTCTCAGAAAGCCTTTGTACTGGTAGGGATAGCAGGAAGGGAGCAGCAGGGACAGCTGGGCACTGCCCTTCACCTGCCAGCCTGGCATTGCATGCTGCAGAGCCTGACCCTCCTGTGCACTTTGTTCCTGGTGAAGGATCCATGGCCTGAGGCTTCCTACCCACCTCCAGAGAGGCGCCCAGGGCTGGTAGAGGTGAGTGTGCAATGCATGCAGTGTCTCTGTATACTCCTGTATACTCCTGGGGAGCCCAGGATCTCCGGATTAACCCCGTCATTATAGCTGCGCCCTCTAATTCCTATTACTGAGGAGCCAAGCTGTCTGCCTGGGGCTGGCATCCTATTGCACAGTGTGTCTGCTGTCACTGCCAGCTTGTTCTACACTGACATGTCACTTGCACATGATAGATGAGCATTGTCTGGGCACTGATGTCATGCCTACTGGTAAGCGTGCCGCGTGCAACACTAACTTAAAGGGTCACTCCATCCAAAGCTGATGGTGGGCGCCGGTGGTCCTGATCACTCGCTGAGCTCCTGTATCTCTCAGGGTCGTAGAGGGTGACATCTCAGCACTGAAATTTGCTTCCCCCCCCACCCCCCCCCACAGCATCATGAAGTCTCTCTCCTCTTGCTGCACTCTTCACAGCGTTAATGGGTGGCAGGTAGGTGGGCCTCTGCAAAGATGTGCAGTGCTGGTTTACTGGAACGGCGGTAAAAAGAATTCTGTGATAATGGTTCCGAATGTTTGTAAATACCGGTGTGTTTTCTAAACATAATACAATTTGCCTAGAAACTAGTAGAATTATTATGAAAAAATGTCCAAAAACATCCTGACTCTAAAAAAAAAAAAAGGGCCTACCAGCCCAATGTGCATCCGGAGTCTTCAGTACTTCCATTTAAACAAGCCAAAACAACAAGATACACTGTTATCAGACTGCAACAAAGTATTCAGAATAAATGTTTTATATATATGTGTGTGTGTGTGTGTGTGTGTGTGTGTGTGTTATATGTGTGTGTGTGTGTGTGTGTATATATGTGTGTGTGTGTGTGTGTATGTGTATATATGTGTGTGTGTGTGTGTGTGTATATGTATATATGTGTGTGTGTATGTATATATATATATATATATATATATATATATATATATATATATATATATAATTTTAGACATAGTCCATTGCAGTCTGATATCGGTATTTCTAGGTGTTTTTTAAAAAGCGCTTTTGCTTTAAAAATGGGGCAATAGAGCATGCTATTGGCGGATGTATTTCTATTGGCGGAGCTGCTGGAGTGAATGACGATACAAATAGAATGAGATATAAAGTGGTGATTCGGCAGGCCAGAAGCTATGCAGAACTGAAATACCAGGTTTGGGGGTGGAGTGATCCTTTAAAAAGACCCCATCACCAACTAAAAAAAATACAGGAAAGTGCAGAAGAATCCAGTATTTTTAATGTTTACTTGCAGCATATTTCCTTTTCATGACTTCTTTTCCATAAATTAAATTCACTTTGTGCCTTCGAACTTGCCAGCCAATTTGATTTGTTCAGGAAGAGGAAGTTCTATAGCACAAGTCCTTGCATGTCATAGCTATGTCCTCTTTTAGGAGTGTCTAATTACCATCTGTGCTGGCCTAGCTCCTCCACCGCTCATCTCTCTACATAACCTCTTATGAAGTAGCTAGGGAGAAGGAGAATACTACAGAGCAGCTATTATTACCAGGGCTCTGTAGAACCCTAGGTATCCTTCAGAGATCTTTGGGGGTTCCTTGAGCTGTGGCTGTTTGACCTCGCATTTGATGGTGTGTGTATAATTTTGGGGCCAAAGTCTTTCTGAAAAGCCAGTGGCATGATACCAGTGACATTTTTAGCTGCCTTCTCTGACATTCTTCTCATTGAGCACCAACATAATTCTTCCCACTGACCACCAATGTAAGGGGCATTCTTCCCACTGACCACCAATGTAAGGAGCATTCTTCCCACTGACCACCAATGTAAGGAGCATTCTTCCCACTGACCCCCAATGTAAGGGACATTCTTCCCACTGACCTCCAATGTAAGGGACATTCTTCCCACTGCCCCCCAATGTAAGGGACATTCTTCCCACTGCCCCCCAATGTAAGGGACATTCTTCCCACTGCCCCCCAATGTAAGGAGCATTCTTCCCAATGACCACCAATGTAAGAGGCATTCTTCTCACTGACCACCAATGTAAGGAGCATTCTTCTCACTGACCACCAATGTAAGGGACATTCTTCCCACTGCCCCCCAATGTAAGGGACATTCTTCCCACTGACCCCCAATGTAAGGAGCATTCTTCCCAATGACCACCAATGTAAGAGGCATTCTTCTCACTGACCACCAATGTAAGGAGCATCTTCTCACTGACCACCAATGTAAGGAGCATTCTTCCCACTGCCCACCAATGTAAGGAGTATTCTTCTCACTGACCACCAATGTAAGGAGCATTCTCCCTACTGACCACCAATGTAAGGAGCATTCTCCCTACTCTTCCCACTGGCCACCAATGTAAGGCGCATTCTTCCCACTGGCCACCAATGTAACCCCCACAGGTTGTGGGGAAAAGACCCTTATTCTCATCAATGTGAAGTAATCTTCTCTGACATGAGAATACTCTGCCCACTCCCAAAAATTAGTAAATAGTCCCCTCTTTGTCCCTGGCCCCCGCTGCTTAGCTGATGAGGCCTGGGAAATTTTAATTGCTGGGTGGCCCAGCCTGTGGGATTACTATGCATGTCTCCATTGATATTTAAAGAGTCTCCTCTCTACCCCCAGGCCTCCTGCTAAACTGAGGGGGCCCAGATCTCATACCGTACAGATAGGATAGGTATATCCCCCTACCGGTAGCCCTGTAGTGAGGCATGATGCCAAACAAGTTGCAAAAAAGATTTTGGTTTAACTTTCTTTCTGTCTTTAAAGTGAACCTTCACCCATGAAAACATTTATTCTTTCCTGGTTCCTCCCCCTCCCTTCAAAAATTTGATGTTCTGCCATTTTTGAAAGTTCCACATCAGGCCCTTCTACCTTCTGGGTTTCCATGTCACACATCCCAGAAGTTAGTGTTTTGTTGAAGGACACGTGCACCATGAGATTCTTTGGGTCTTGGGGCACATCTTTATATGTGCAGGGGTATTCCTGCACATGCACACCCAAGCCATGGGCCTGCACAAGGTCCGATATCTGACACCAGTGGCACGCATGCATGGGAATAGCCCTGTGTGTGCACAGATGTGTTACAGGTGTGGTATACCCAAGCATGTGTGGGATATCCAAAGATGGTGCCACAGTGGAGGGGCAGGGGAGGACAATAACCGCCAGCTGAAGTTCCTCTTTAAGCTGCTCATAGACAAGTGGCCCAGCACACAACCTTTGTAACAAAGAATCATGGTACAAACATGAATTAGAATGGGATAACCACACATGCTCATTCCTATAGAAAGTCTTGGAAAACTTCCACTGGCCCGACCTGTCTCAGGGCAAGGCCAATACTAATTGGCTGGAAAAAAAGATGATTGATTCCCTTAGCGAAAAGGCTTGGGCAAAGTATGGCTGCCATTGTGGTGTGCCGGCTTCTAAATTGCCTACAAATATTGAGCCCGGGAAGAGGCTTTGGCTGTGCACTGCGTTGGTTCAAAATGGGAGGTTGAGCAGTGTACTCCTGGTTTTGTATGTCTACCATTGGACCTACAGACCTATCCCCAGTCCAACCAAGAATGACCGGATTGGATGAACAGGGATGTGCAATTTATATCGCCCAACTCCCGGGACATGTACTTCCGGGTGCCGGGCAGGTAGGTTTTTTGGTTTTTTTTTTTTTTTTTGTTTGTTTTTTTTTTTTTCCCTTTAGCCCTGCTGCGGGCAAGCAAGCAGGGATCATATGTCAGGTGGAAGCATTTGGGTGGCAGCGCTGCCTCCCGATTGCTTCCACACAGCCCACAGTGCCAGCCACCGCGCCCCTGCCCGCTGTATGTCCCGGGCTCCACTTGCCTATCTGTGGGCCCGGGACCAGTCAGTGGGTGCTGGCGGTGTGTCGGGATGTGGGTATAGAGGGGGGGGAGGAGAGCGGACACGCCCGCTCTCCTCCCCTTCTTGTCCTGACCCAGAAGTGATGTGAAATCACTTCCGGGTCCTCGTTGACATTTTCCCAGCCATGGAGGCCAGGAAAGAATGTAACGGAGTGCGATGTGCACTGCATTACATTCAGAGGAGCACAGGGGAGACATGCAGGGACCCTGGATGTCTCAGAAAAGAGAACCTGTCACCAAAAAAAAAAATCATCCAATAGGGGACTTTTTGTACCCTGTGTGATAAAAAAAAAGTAAAGTTAAAATTTTCTTTTTTAATAAAAAGAAAGTAAGTTACACCCAAGCATATGCAATACCCCCCCATATTTTTCAAGGCCCCCACTGCCACATATGTACACACACACAAACTTAAAAGCATGCGCTGGTACACCCACACATGAAAACAACGATTGCGATACACATGTTAATTATCGCCGCACACGCCAGAATGAGAGCAATAATTCTAGCACCAGACCGCCTCTGTAACACTAAACTGATGACCTATAAGAGGTCTATAAGCGTCACCTATATAAAATAGAGGGTACTAAAGTGTGTTGCCGTTTAATGAGTGCATGCAAATTTAAGGTTTGACGTGTTGGATATCTATTTACTCGATGCAACCTCATCTTTTATATTTTACAAAAAAATTGGATAATTCTATTGATTTTTGTGCCCTAAAATTAATCTAAGTGTTTTTTTTACTTAAATTTTGTGTTTCCTAGAACTTTGTGATATCGTGTGACATAAAAAAAATTGGAACTACCACTATTTTATTTTCTAGGGTCTCTGATTTAAAAAAATATATCATGTTCTGGAGTTTTGTGTAATCTTCAGGACTTTAAATGGTTTTTTAAACGTGTGCAAAAAACACAAAAATGGCTCTGGCAGCGAAAGGGATAAAGGATAAGACCGACACGCCCCTTTCCTGATGAGCAGCCAATCGGTGCTCATTACACTGCAAGGTCTCTCCCCTCCCTGCTAGTCCCCGGGGGGTGCTGGAGACAGGGAGGGGAGGAGGAGATAAACAGCGCAATGTTTAAAAATATTACACGTTTAAGTGGCCATAAAGCTCCTTTTGTTTTTTAAAAGCCCCGACATTCCATAAACCACCTCCTGATTTTCAATACGGTTTTGGTTAAAAAAAAAAAAATTTTTATCAGGACAAGTAGATTTTCACGAGGGACGAGTAGATCGGGGCACTGGTTTAGTCCCCGGACGAGAAGATTGTCACGAGGGACGAGTAGATCGGGACACCGGCTTAGCCCCCGGACGAGTAGATTGTCACGAGGGACGAGTAGATCGGGGCACCGGCTTAGCCCCCGGATGAGTAGATTGTCACGAGGGACGAGTAGATCGGGGCACCGGTTTAGCCCCCGCACGAGTAGATTGTCACGAGGGATGAGTAGATCGGGGCACCGGTTTAGTCCCCGGACGAGTAGATTGTCACGAGGGACAAGTAGATCGGGGCACCGGTTTAGCCCCCGGACGAGTAGATTGTCACGAGGGACAAGTAGATCGGGGCACCGGTTTAGCCCCCGGATGAGTAGATTGTCACGAGGGACAAGTAGATCGGGGCACCGGTTTAGTCCCCGGGCGAGTAGCTTGTCACGAGGCACAAGTAGATCGGGGCACCGGTTTAGCCCCCGGACGAGTAGATTGTCACAAGGGACAAGTAGATCGGGGCACCGGTTTAGTCCCCGGGCGAGTAGCTTGTCACGAGGCACAAGTAGATCGGGGCACCGGTTTAGCCCCCGGGCGAGTAGATTGTCACGAGGCACAAGTAGATCGGGGCACCGGTTTAGCCCCCGGGCGAGTAGATTGTCACGAGGGACGAGTAGATCGGGGCACCGGTTTAGTCCCCGGGCGAGTAGATTGTCACGAGGGACGAGTAGATCGGGGCACCGGTTTAGTCCCCAGGCGAGTAGCTTGTCACGAGGGACGAGTAGATCGGGGCACCGGTTTAGCCCCCGGGCGAGTAGATTGTCACGAGGGGCAAGTAGATCGGGGCACCGGTTTAGCCCCCGGGCGAGTAGATTGTCACGAGGGACAAGTAGATCGGGGCACCGGTTTAGTCCCCGGGCGAGTAGCTTGTCACGAGGGACAAGTAGATCGGGGCACCGGTTTAGCCCCCGGACGAGTAGATTGTCACGAGGGACAAGTAGATCGGGGCACCGGTTTAGTCCCCGGACGAGTAGATTGTCACGAGGGACAAGTAGATCGGGGCACCGGTTTAGTCCCCGGACGAGTAGATTGTCACGAGGGACAAGTAGATCGGGGCACCGGTTTAGTCCCCGGGCGAGTAGATTTTTTTTTCAAAAATTTCCACACCTCCCATGAACATTCTCTGGTGTCTTGGGAACGTTCCAAACATCAACCCAACACATTCATATATGTGCAATCTTCGGGGATCGCTGTCAATGCCAATTTTAGACATTTCCAGGCAGCAACACAGCTGATATAAAGTGTAACTGCGAATAAGGTTTTGGAGAGTGGGACCAGCATTTGGGGGAGAGACTATGGCTATTCCAATCCACAGTCCCAACGTACGCGTCCCTGGATAACGGCTGTGTATGTAAGCAGGTGCTGTAGTGACCATCGTCTGGAACCGAAGATGAGCAAGGCAGAAGAACGTCACCAGCACACTGTGGATCTCCAATGTAGGTCCAAAGCTTTTATTCAGCGATCACATTGTTACAGCAAAAGCAACGTTTTGGAACTTTGCAGGACCGATGTGATCGCTGAATAAAGTTTTGGACCTACACTGGGGATCCATGGTGTGCCGGTGACGTTCTTCTGCCTAGACTATGGCTTTAAGCTCCAAGGAGCAGGGCCCTCAATCCCCTCATGTTTTGCATTGTATTGGTATTGTTCTGTCACATGTTCTGTCCCCCTTTGTAATGTACAGCGCTGAGCGAACTATTGGCGCTTTATAAATACTGTATAACAATAATATAGACTCTCTGCTTTACACCGTAATGTATGTCCACACTGGCCTGCATTTCACAGCCCATTCATAACAGAAGCAGAGTGTTGTGTAGTGTTAGCCATCGACAGAAGTTTGGATTTAGGGAGATCCAGTACCTTTAATTGGCTAACTAAATATAGTGCAGTGCGACCTTTCCAAGCATGATGGTCTTCTCTTCATGAAATACTATATATCCTGAAGAAGAGGCTATTCTACTTCAAAAGCCCATTCATAAAATGCAGACAGTAAAGTGGAACCTGAGATGTCGCCCCGAGTTTTGTCAGCCTAATGCTGCAGAGATATCCATGACTGGCCAAGAGAGGCCAGTCACATGAGTTTGACTCCCTTTCTTTTTTCCCTTTGTTTGTTGAGCTTTGTTTGCCTTGGAATCCCAAGCAAGCACATTTGTGTTTCTTGGCAGTCTCAGCG